CTCTCTAATTCCATTTTCCCTCTGATCGTGAATTCGTCCTTTAAGAAGAAGAATCGTACCGGGGGTTCACGAAAGCGAAATTTCGGGAGGGAGGGGGAGGTTGTATTTTTTCAGAGTTGAAGTGGTCGCGGTTGTTCGGCGAAGTGAAGTGAAGTATTCAGATAAGGAATGTAAACCGTAACAGACAAAATAAGAACAGCTCTCATTCCTTTAGATATGCTACACTTTATTCCCCTTTCCTCATCCCACCCCCCCCTCCCCTTCCCTCTCAACGGTTGTTCTGGAGATCTGGAGAGAAGATGTGAACGACGGTTCAGGTGTCTCGGCTGGTCTCATGGTAAATGAAATGCCATAGAAACAGCCATAGCCGTGAGGGAGTTGAATTTGTGAGTACCCTTTCACATGTAGCGTTGGGGGCTCGTACACCTCTAGGGGGTCCCAAGGCCCTCCAAGCGTGGTCTGTTGAGATTTTCGAACAGGGGTTGTAAGAATTTTCGAAATTAACAAAATGGACGGTTGGCTCTTATCAAAAGCAATATGGCAGCGAAATCATGACTGATTTTCTGAGCCGCTTAGCAATAATAAGATGTTGACCAAAAAAGTTCATGTGTTTCGTTCTCTATACCCTTTCTTCGTGCTACTGTCTTCATTTTCTTTCCGACGACTAGTGTTTCAGAGCGACGTTCATTGTGATCGATGTGGCGCATGTACCTATCAGATGAAGTGTGACTGTCGTGGAGACACGATTCAGCAATGGAGTGCCTTGCGTTCACTGTCATGCAGTGGCGACCTTCTCGGAAAAAGGTGAAGTGTTCAGTGAAATTTTTTAGGACTACGCTCAGACTTCGGATGTGGCTACTGGCTTGAAAAAGGAGTGGAAAAGAGTCACAGAAGGTGTGGGCGCCCCAGCTATGACGTACAGTGATCGTACTCAGGATGGGTGGGAGACGGTCAATGCCACCATCATTACGTATAAATGTAGAAGAGTTCGATGGCTTTTTGTGCCTATGCCTGCTCCCTTCAATAGCATCGGGGCATGAAATGGTGCTGCTGTCTACGCACAACTCCTGGGTGGTTGAAAGCTTTTTGAAAGCTTGAAGTACGTGTATCTAAGAATACTGTGACACGTTGTGATAGTCGTTAATACTATGTGTAAGAACTATGCTAACTAGAACACGATGATAATGTCTTCCGTTCTTAAAGGCATGCCCCAGGATCAATTGGTGTGGCTCTTGCACACGAATGCGAATGTATTGGTGCGAAATGGGCCGGCAGTGAAGAAAAAAGGAAAAGAATCCGTCGAAAACGCTTAGGTTAAGGGCTCACTCACCTTCCTAATCGGCTGTGCTAAGGGAATGAGAGACTAAGCGCGGAGAGGAGAGTATGAGGCGAGAGAGCGCTACAGATGAGAGAGCGCCAGACAACAGCCTGATAAGAAAAAAATCTGCAGCTTCAGCAGCTTACTTTGCAAGGCCCTAGCGCTCTTGTCGGTTGGTTTCCGTGCACGGGAATGCCACATTTGTGATTGTCCTCTAGGGGTCTATCCTACAGACCGAAGGGAATCGTTCACACGGCTTCTGCCTGGGTTGTGCCTTTAACCTGCCAGATACTCGATTCAAAGGAAGCGGTCGCGATACATCTTGTGGACGGAATGGATTGGGTAGGAAATCTACTCTGATGGTGAGATGAAGGGTGGCGTTCCGGGGGCAGTGGCGTGATAAGGCGCCGGAAAAGAGCTCTTCTACTTCCAGAGTCTTGTCCGCCCACCATTTCGAATCTGCATAGGGTGGCCACGGAGCGTACTTGATATATTGATATGATATGATATGGATATGATAATGTCATTGTTCGATTTTTAGTGTAGAGTGTACCCCTGTGTTCACAAGTCAGCCGCATCGTCCTTTCCCATCGTATCATATCCTTCATGGGATTACGCTAATGCAAACATTCTCTATCTCATTTCTAATCTTGACTCTTCCCGTCAATGATGTGTGGAGCTTCTACCCACCTCTGAGCCAGCGCGACCGCTTCCTGTAAACTGTAGACGGTGAAACGGTTAGCAGACAAAATCAAGCGTAATGTTCTGCAACCGCTTGCGTGGAGTATCTTCATAGACTGGAGCAGAACAGCGAGTTATTGTGGAAGAGGTCTTCCTTTACCTGTATGCTATCCTTATTTTTCCAGTAGATTATCGGAAGTCACTCGCAGATTTCAATCGCAGTTTTCTTACATGTGAAATCTGCCGGTACCATGATGTGGACCGTTTTTACCGAGCAGTCGGATTGACGAGTCAGCAGCTCCGCATGTTTCTCTTGCAATTCCCCATTAGTTTTGGTTCGCTCTTTGAATAATAGTAACAAGTAAAACCCAACCCTCCTATACTTGGAAGCAACTAAAAGGCTCAAGGCATACCACAGGATCAAATTAGTATGGTTCTTGCGCACGAATGCGAATGTATTGGTGCGAAGTGGGCCGGCAGTAAAGGAAAAAAGAGGAAAGAATCCGTCGAAAACGCTTGGGCCAAGGGCTTGCTCACCTCCGCAGTAGGCTGTGCTAACAAGGGAAGGATGGTAGGTCGAAGTGGCCGTATAAAATGAGATGTATACCCTGATGCGTCTCCAGACGCTGATTCCAAATCTGCCTTCCAAATCTGCTAAACGGCTCTCCGAACGGAGTTATGAAGCGTAATAGCTCAGTGGTGATGGTCCGGGGTGGCAGGTAAAAGCTCGTAGGATCGGTTCCTTTGCAAGTTTGTTGCTTTGCTTTTGTCCGCAACACTTCTAGAGACAAAAGCAAAGCAACCAATTTGCAAAGGAACCGATCCTACGAGCTTTTACCTGCCACCCCGGACCATCACCACTGAGCTATTACGCTTCATAACTCCGTTCGGAGAGTCGTTTAGCAGATTTGGAAGGCAGATTTGGAATCAGCGTCTGGAGACGCATCAGGAGGTATACATTTCATTTTAACGGCCACTTCGACCTACCATCCTTCCCTTGTAAGCCAATGAGAGACTGAGTGCAGAGAGAAGAGTCTGAGGGATAGAGCGGAACATATGGGAAGGCGCTAAACATGAGCTTGAGAAAAGAAAAAAATGCAGCTGCTGCATCTCACTTTGCAAAGCCCTAGCGCTCTTGTCGGGTGATTTCCGTGCACGGGAATGCCACATCTGTGATTGTCTCTAGGGGTCCATCCCACAGATTGAAGGGAATCGTTCACAGGACTTTTGCCTGGGTTGTGCCTTCAGTGAAAAGGATTGGTATGGCGTCTACGATTTTCTCATATTAATTCCTCTGAAATTTTTCAAATGGTCGTCTTTATTAATTATCAATGTGCGATTCAGCTCGTGAACTCATTCCTCTCGTCAAACATCATCTCGCAGCCGATTATCCTACAACTTCGCAAACATCTGGGTCTGAAGACCCTACGGCAGACGTTACAGACGAGGAAACCTATGCAGAATTGGATTCCTTCGAAGAAGGTTCCAGTTTTTCATCTCCAAGCGAAAGCCGTAACGAATCAACGCCTGCTAATCAGCCACACATTTCTTCACGGAATGTAACAAACATAAAAGAAGAAGCAGAGTTCGAGTACGAACGATTCTTAGAGGTGAGTTGGATGGGAACCTTGGAATAATATCTTCTTCGATGAGACCCCAATTTGGGGGCGTTCCCTGCTATCTTATCCGTAGTACTAGAGAGCACTCCTTTGGACTTTCTAACCCTATGGATAAGATAATAGGTAAACGACTCATTTCAAGTGCACTTTTGATAAGGACCGGTGTATGCCCCACATCACGCACATCCTGCTCACATCCTGGGCAATTTATGGCATGTGATCGTCCACCCTGGGCTCCTACACCCTTGCGCCTAGGAAAGGATGTCCATACCCTAGTTCAGGACCATTTCCTTGGACCACAGCAGGCCAAATCTGAAAGCACCTAGGAGTACTTCCACACTACACCGGTCCTTATCAGAAGTAATTTTAATGAATCGATTACGTGTCATGAAATTCTTTTCCTTGTCCTCGGTATTGGATAGCGCAATGGAGTGCCCCTCCCCCTCCCCCGGACAAAAGTTTCATTCTTTCTTCTGATGTATTCCTTTCAGGTAAAACAACGTCTGAGTCAACTAGCAAAGACTTGTGTACAAAGCAATCTGCCTCACGTTATTCGAGAATTGCGCACCACCATTGAGAGTAAGCTTACTGAGATCCTCACTGATGCAGGCACATCTGCGCCGTCGCCGACAAAGAACCGCCTGCGAAGTGTCAAGCAAGAACCGCCGTCGGAACATGATTACTCTGTAGGTTTTTTATTATTATGATTGAGTGTGATGCATGGATCTCCTCTTCTCGAAACCATTTTGAAACTGTTGTAACCTCCGCTCGTGTACTGGATTCAGGTTAACATTCCTGTTCGGTAGAAGTCGGTTGAGGGACATAATTTGTATAGGACGATGCTTCAGACCATAACTCTTCGATAAGCTTGTCGGAAATTACACCTCTCCTCCAATATATTGCATAGTAGGCAAGGGTAATGTTTTCGCGGAGTGAAACCGCGCGACAAGGGGGTTGATGCCTTCGCTTCACCACTGCGACCGCTGCCACGCATTTTAATCGCATAACATGGTGTCTGCGCCCTCTCGCGTACGACTTGTCTCTCGCGTTGTCTTTCTCCTCGCAGAGCTGTGTTTCTCCGTCGCACCGCGTCAGCCCACAGAGAAAAATTTCAGTATTTTCTTTTCACTCTTTTTGTGTAATCTTTCAACAAAATAACATACCGATTCGACTGCGACATGTGCTTTTAATTTCTGCCATTCAGGATACAGGCAGCTTACTTACTTGCACAGAGGAACTGGAATTGTCTAAGACGTCATTTACCCAAATCCTATCATCAAAGTGATTCCTCGACTTAGAAGTGCACTTTTGTCTGGAAGAATCAAAATATAACGCGACGAGGGGTGCACCAGGGAAGAACTACCCCACTGTTTTGATTTGTGAAAGAATAGATGGAGCACAACGATTGCTTCTGCGGGCCAATGCTGAATGTTCTTCAATGTTAGGCTTGGGCAGAATTCGAATTCAATAATTCCAAGGTTCTTCAATCGCAGTTGATATGAAATTCTTCAAAATCTTATATCCGACGACGTTTGGGCCTTAAGCCCTTCCTCAGGTCTACAAATACAAACTACTAATCGTACATCAACAATCGATCTAGATGGAACAATATTAATACATTGTAAAACGAGAACGCTTTAACAATTGACCAACTCAAGAAGAATTGGCTTAGGGAACGGGTTGATCCCAGAAGCCTCACGTAACGCTGCTCCATCTAGATCAATTGTTGATGTACGATTAGCAGTTTGTATTAGGTTGTCTCATAAGTAGTGTCGCTTTTTTTCAACCAAAAAATTTTCATCTAAATCCCCATGCTTTTACATCGTTCATATACCATTCGAAAGAGAATTGTCTGCTCTACAAGATGCTATGTTCCTCTTCCATCTCTGTTCCAGGGTTTTCAAATTTTAGGCCTGCGAAATGGGAGGTCCCGCCGACAAAAATTGACCAAACCGACAACTAGCTCTAACTTTATTTTCCCTGGGAGAAATCAATCAATGATGTACCCTCTACTTACTCATGACCTCTTCTGAACATTCCACCCTTAGGTTGCCGAAAAGGTTTGCCCTGTTTTCTTTCGAATTGGCCGACCGATAAGCCATGGCAATTTTCAAATTGAAATTCTTCCTCTGAAACGCTATTGTTTTATATCAACTGGTGTATCTTTTGTGAGCACTTCTTCTGCTCTATTCGCTCATTTGTTTTGTTTTAATGTTTGTTAGGAATTAGCTCGAATTTTAGGTGTTTAGGAGTAAGGTGCTTTATCCACGAAAGTGACCGCATTTCTTTGAAAAAAATTATCCCTGAGAAGATGAGAAAATCAACCAGGCGTACATTCCTAACTTAGTCATGACTTGTTCTTTAAATTCTACTAGTTTTTCAATGTCTCGGCTATAAAAAAATTTCGACCTCGATCTCAGGTAATGGTGCTCGACCGTCGAGTTCTGGTTGAAAAACCAGGTCTGGAAATGGAACGACGCGACTTGTTGGGAAACCTAATAGTGTAATGTTTAGAAGAGGTCATGCATAAGTAGAGGGTACATCATTGATTGATTTCTCCAAGGGAAGATAAAGTTAGAGATAGTTGTCGGTTTGGTCAATTTTTGTCGGCTGGACCTCCCATTTCGCAGGCCTAAAATTTGAAAACCATGGAACATAGATGGAAGAAGAACACACATCTTGTAGAGCAGACAATTCTCTTTCGAATGGTATATGACTCGATGTAAAAGCATGGGGATTTAGATGAAAATTTTTTGGTTGAAAAAAAGCGACACTATTTATGAGACAACCTAATATTTGTAGACCTGAGGGCGCACTAAAGGTCCGAAACGTCGTTGGAAGATTTTGAACAGTTTCATAACAACTGTAGTTGAAGAAGCGGATTAATACACGGTACCAGGATGCCTACAATACCGCTACTAATTTTTGTTCAATCGACGGAATGCGACGCAGTCAGTCCGTCGCAACCGTCGCCTCGCCATAACTCGTGAACAAATGGACCAGGTCATTCGAAATTTATACCACTGGATAGCTCTGCTCACGAAGAATTCAACGGTATAGAGGACTATTGAGTTTCTCTGAATTTTCAGCTTCATTCTCATGAAATTTATCAAATTACCTGAGGCTGACTCATTAGCGGGCGTCGCTCGCTATAATTATAACCAGAGGGGAAAAGGTATTAATGGTAGTATTTAGCGAGTAATAAAGTTATTATTTTACTTCTATGTAAAGTGAAAAAGCGACTGTTGTGTTCTTCAGATAGTGCTCGTCATTTTGGTACCGAATTCATCCCAGGTGGGTCAGCTTTGATAAAAGTCATTTTTGCATGGAAAAGCTCCTTTGGGCCGAAGTATAGCGAAAACTAATAGGATCTGAGCCTTGTCACTTAACTTTCCTTTTCTACAGAGCCAACCCCGTTGACGAGAAGTTTTTGAAGTTCCTACCTAGCACTGGCTGTCAATTTCGAGGTCTTGAATCAGAGAGAAATTCACATTTTTTCATGGAAAGAAAATAGTACAAAAAGTATACCATTGTATTCCTCGTTAAAAATGCTTTACATTAATATAAATTACAAATCACAAAATTCTCTGTGGTTTTTTCGAGTTTTATCGCAGCCATCTCTCCTGCACTAAACCATTCTGCCCAATTAGGCGTCTCGCCGAGCTGCTGACCTCCGGATCTCTCTCAATTACCAGAGGGCTTTTGTCGCACCTCAAGATCAACGAGAGAATGGTGAGACTGTGTATGTTTCTATGAACAGCCAAATGGTCGAACTTAGCTAAATTACGGAAGGGTGTATGTACTTAGTTTGAAGCTGCTAGAGCTGAGTACGGTAGCGTAATTAGCGGATTACTGTAGCGCACGGCAGGTCACTTCGCACATTCCCAAAATAGCCTGTGGGATGACCCCACTTAATTGCCTGCGCTGGATGCTGACATTTCTTGGCAGTTTCAAAAAAGCAACGAAGTGTGTGGAATAATATCAGAGCGAATTAGTGTTTTGAACTATAAATTTTTGAATATCAAATGAAACTTTATTAATACCATACAAATTACTAAAAACGAAGGTGGAAACAAAACTAGAAATGTACATGATTGCTATATATCCTACTTATCATAATATTTCGCTAAAGTTCGTCTTGTGTGCTTTCTGTCTTTATCTGTCTGTCTGTACGTACGTCCGTCTGTTACAAAATTCATAATCATAGGTGTGGGACGGAACATATTTGGTGGGGTTTATAAAGTGATACCGACTGATAAGATCTGATAAGAGGCGCCAAAACGCCAATTTCATGATATTCATAGCGCGCGTCCCAGCAGTGTGGGGCGTTGGTTCCAAGAAGTGATGTACAGGGTGGGACGGGAACATGTTCGGTGGGTACAGAAAGTGATAAGGGCTGATAAGGGTTGATAAGAGGCGCTGAAACGCAAATTTCACGAAATTCATAGCGCGCGTCCCAGCAGCAGTGGGGCATTGGTTCCAAGAAGTGATGTACAGGGTGGGACGGGAACATGTTCGGGGGTACAGGAAGTGATAAGGGCCGATAAGGAGCGATAATTACGATATTGGTAGAAACATAGAGAGCATCTAAAATCATATCTAGATAAAGCATTTCACTTTAGTACACACATTGACTTGTAGTGTCATCAACATAAAATTCCGATTGGAACCCTTACAGATCCACAAGTCCAGATATATATATAAACCAGTTGGCGCCGCACGCATTGCGCGCGCAACACAGATCTGTGGCGAATTTTGATGGTGCGACGAAAAATTTCAAATTTGGCTTGATACAATACGAATATCTGAATTCTCCGCTAAATTCTATGCGCTCTTTCTTCGTCAACCATTATCCTATTTTTCTCGGTCCTCGGCCCGGACAATAAATCTCGTGGCGAACTCCGTCTACTTCGGTGCGTGCCCTGCCGACCAATAGCATTTGGCTCCCTTCTTTTCGCCGACCTCTACCCCCTTTTTCACCGGTCTCTGGG